GAAAATATTTTTTTCTTAACTTAACTTTAGGAGGGTTGTCACATGTTCAGAAAATCAAATTAAATCTAAATTAATTAATTTAATTAAAAAACAAATGTTCCAACATATGGGTGCCAAACGAAAGGGGGCTCATAAAGTAGCAGTTTGAAAATATTTTGAAGTGGGTTGCCACCTACTGAAAATGTCGAATTTAGCTAACTTTTCCAAAATTTGTATGAAGTGTAAAAATTTCGCTGTTGAACGAAAGAGTTTTAACATGTCTTTAGTTTAAACATCAAGAATATTTTTGAGGTGTTGGAAGAGGGTTGCTGCCTGTCCAAAAATGTATTTCAGATTACTAAGTAAGTTAAATGAGTTATTAAATTATGACGTGAATGAAGATATCCTTAGTTTGAATAATTATAATATTAAAGAGGTTTGCCACCTGTTAAAAAAGTAAACCTAAATTATTTAATAATTTAAAATTCAAAAATATGGGTATCAAATGAAATTGGTTTAAAAAGACTTTACTTCTGAACTGTATTTATGAGGGTTGCCAGCTGTTTCAGAAGTCTTAGCTAACTTATGCACAAATTCGAAGAAGAAGATTATGTGAACACGAGCACGAACACGAAGAAAAATTTTAATACGTGGTACTAGGCTAATATAAAAAGCAATACAAAAATCTGCAGTATGAAAGGAAATAAAACTGAATCGAAGTATAAGCCGATGGCACATATGAATAAAGTTGATGTGGATCTGCTTCTCTATTGCTAATTATTAATATTTTGCAATTCATATTGACTTATTAATTCTAAATTCAATGTAATCAAAACGAACATTTCATGTACCGCTTTTAACTTGAATGTGATTATAATAATACCACGTATTCTACATTTAAGTTTAGCGGCTGTGGCTCCGACACAGCCCTAATGCCAAGTCTAAGGCGCTGGACTGATCCTTTTTCGTTCAATTGGCTCTCATTGCACAAGTTGCGAATAAGACTAAATTGCACTACTCGACAACACTGGCATTTGCTACTGTCGTGCAGAAATAAGTAGACGACAAAATTCGTCGAAAACAATCCAGTGCTGCCATGTTTCCCCGTTTTAATACACTAGTCGAATGGAAATTTTAAGCAATGCTATGCATTTTTCAATGCGACTAGACTCTCGAAAAGCGACTTGCATTCCATAGGACACTTCATTCAAATTATGCACACATATACACACCTGCAAATAATCGCACACCTGTGGTAATTCAATTAAGCTGTTTAACTCAAAATGTTACCCTCCCAAGTACTTACAATTTAGTTTTTGTTGCCGATTTTGCTGGTTTGGCTTTTGTTGACCCGGTCGTATGCCCTCCCGCTGTGCTGCCTGCTGTCGTCACTTTCTTGGTCGCCGCTCTGGCATGCAAGCGCACTACAAAGGGATCGTAATTGTTGGCTACAATCCGATTGATGCGCGAGAATATCGAATCGATGAATTGATTGTGTCGCTCTTGGAAGGCGTCGTTCGTCATTTCGATAATGTTGTTCTTCAGGTTTCCTAGATACATATTGATGAATTTATAGGCTTATTAGTGAATAAAAGCGTATTGATACGGCATGTGGTTTTGTATGTTCTTAGCAACTACTACATAAGTATATAAATTAGTATTTTATGTAAACAAATTTTGATATTATAACGTAATTGCTGGTAATTTTCGTTTATATGTAAATCAATATTACTACCCAAACAAATCTAACAGCTGTCTGCTGTTAATAGCCGTAAGCAGCCCAATTTTACCGTTTTCATATTGATTCAAAAGCGCTTAGGAAACCACTAATCAAGAGAAGTAACTTAGCTTTTGAACTGCTTATTAATGATGCAATAAATACCCAAAATTATGTACTTAAGCGTCCGTTGTGTTATTAAAGCAGTGGTTAATATTTATAAGTACTATGTTTCGTAGATCGAATTAAAAACAAGTTAGATAGAGTTACATACATATTAGTTTTAATAATAATAGTTGTTATTTTTTGTCAGATTTAATACAAATATGTTATAATTGTTAAAATCGATATGGATTTGAAAAATGATAAGCAATTTAATTAATTATTTTCATCTTTTTTCAAATGTGCTTCATTCTGTAAACTTAGAGGTTAGTCCATAAATGTAGGTTAATGTTTAAATGCCTACATGGTAAAGCAAAGTCGAGATTTCTTGCCCACACTAATCTCGAAAACTCCTGACCGGATTTGGACGAGATGTTTCTTAATATAAATAGTCTGTATCGATACGACAATTGTCTTTAGAACTTAGAATTTCTATTGGGTCGTCACCTGTCTAAAAAACTATAAGATCTTCACCGTTCGTCGGACTAAAAACAGAGATACCAGGTGGAAGAATATGGTCTCCGAATGTGCAATAAACTTTTATTTTTTTGGTGGGATTGCCACCGATTTAAAAACTGCTACCTTACGTATAATACGTAAAGGATTTTTTTGTCAACGACTTCAGATTTTCATAGCTCATGCAGTTTAAAAAAAATTGTGTGCAAAAATGTATTATTTCTTTTAATAGGGTTGCCAGCTATATATAATTATAAAATCGGTAGAGTTCATTGTATTAAAAAATTGGGTCCCTTGTCATTCGGTATGGCCTCCGGATGTGCAATAAACCTTTTTTAGTAGGGCTGCCACCTATTTAAAAATTTGTTCCCTATATATAATACTCGAAGGCATTTTTTGTTTATAATATCAAATTTGGTATGTGGGCGTATTTTTTATATTTTATTAATCGTTTGTCAGAACCAGCAAAATCTGATCACTATAACATACATTTATACATACATATATCTGGCTGTAATAAAACTGGTTGCTCGTATATGAGATTTTACGTTATAACTCTTCCACTTTAGCATCTAGAAACATCGAGCCTAGCACCATTGGCATATATCAGAAACATATATCTAAAAGTTAAAATAGCTAAGAAAGGATCAATATCACATACAGGTACATATTTAGCTTCCATATAACTGATTGTTCTGATATGAGGGAAATCGAGAAAATCATTAAGATAAGTTTTCTAAACGGTATATACCGAGTACCAGATTATTCAGATATACCTTTTTGCAATATAAGTAACTGGTTTATTTAGAAGCCAAAAATATGGAGCTATGGTGAGCTATGTACCAACCAGTTATAAGAGGTAAACTTACAAAACTATGGCTATAACTTATAGCTCTCACATAGCTGATTGCTCAGATATTAGAAGTTGTTTTGCAAAAGCTTAATTTTGATATCTAGGACGTTGAAATGTTGTGAGCCATTTTAATACTAATCAGTCACCAAAGCTCCGCTGATAAAACTGTTTATGGCTTTAGATATGAGTTTTTATAAAAAATCTCTTCCATTTCAGTGGCTAAAGGACAGAAGTTGTGTATCCTTGTTTACGTATTATAAGTTCATAATTAAAATCATCAAGATCAGTTTAGTATAATGTATAGCCCGCACGAACTGATTGCGGAAGACGGGCCTTTTTTTCGTTCAAATTCATCTCTAACTTTACTGATTAATGACAAATAGAGATTTCCAGAACCCTTAACAAATTTTCAGATTTATTTCTTCTATTCCTACTAAGACCCATACGATTCTCTGATATGATCGTTTTCTAGGAAAAAAAAAGCGCTTTTCATTGTTCAGTAGTATTTAGAAATACTAAAAATTCCTCTATGCTTAACCAACAACAAGTTCAAATGGGCACAAAATATTTACATAGCTGGCGCTTTACATTAGTTTTTTCTGTTTTGCAGTTGAGTGCCGTGCACACGAATAGGTGGGAAAAAATTACCAATGTGGTGGTATCACAATATTGGCTTTGAATGCAGCAGGGGGTTAATATTGGCATTTTATTTTTTCGCTCACATTTCAGTTGGTTGCGTCTGTATGGCCCTTTAAATTTTACACATGATTATTATTTTTAAGTGGAAAAACAAAACTCAATAATAACAGAGTAGGAACGCAAAAATGACAAAAAGAAAACGTCGAGACAAGTGAACTTAATTTTGAGCCGTAGATTACGGATCTGCTATCCTTTTTCTCGATCGGGTCAGCTTTCCAAGATATTTTTATACCATTCATGATCGTGAAATGGTATTATAACTTTGGTCCGATGTTTGTAACTACCAGAATAAGAAGAGATAGACCCATTAAAATGTATACTTAAATGATCAGAACGTCGAGCTGAGTCGATTTAGCCATGTCTGTCTGTCTGTCTGTTTGTCCGTCTATTTGTATGCAATCTAGTCTCTCAGTTTTCGAGATATCCGGATGAAATTTGGCAGGTGGATGTATTTTTATTATGTATTAATCATTTGTCGGAACCGGACGAATCAGACCACTATAACATATAGCTCCTATACAACTGATTGCTCAGATATGAGATTTTTTGCGATAACTTCTCCATTTATGCAGCTAGGAACATGAAAATTCGCGCCGTTTTTACTCATTGTTAACAGAATACTTATAATGAAAACACAAAGATCGGGTCTTTATAACATATATCTACAATACAACTGACTGCTCAGTTATGAGAATTTTCATTATAACTGGGAACATAACATTTCGCAATATTTCCACCCGTTATCAAAAAAATACTTACAGTGAAAATGGCGAAGATCGGGTCGCTATAACCTTAAGCCTCCATACAACTGTTTGTTCAGATTCGATATTCTTTGCTATAGCTTCTCCATATATGCAGCTAGAAACATGAAATTTCGCAATATTTTCACTAATTACCAATAGAAAGTTTACAGTAAAATTAACAAAGATCGGGTCACTGTAACTTATATATTGCCTCCATATAACTGATTGTTCAGATATGGGATTTTACTGTACTCCTTTTTACTCCTTTATTTGGACTGCTAAAACAGATTAATTTCGTAAGCTTTTATATAAATAATAATACAAAGTCTACTGAGAAAATCGTCAAAATCTATGCTGTATAAACTTTATCTCTTAAACTTCTGATTGTTCAGATTGCAGTTATTACGGCTCCTTTATGTAGGAGTCTAAACCCATTAAATTGTGTTACCGGGTTACATACCGATCACCACCTAGAGTGGTGCTATATAAGGTATATCCTCCATACCACTGATTGTTTAGATATGGGTTTTCATAAATATATGTATCTCCTCTATCTATGTATTATGTAAATATATAAATTTTTTCAAATGTAGTAATCTGTTAAAGTAAAATTTTTCAGATGTTCATGAAAGGTATGAAGCCTTCGGCATAGCCGAAGACAGCGCTGCTCTTACTTGATTTTTTTTTAAGTTTGCACTACGAAAGAAAAAAAAGTTCAAACTTTAACATAGAAAATATTACTCACTCGCCATCTACGAGCTTGTACGTGTGCGCCCATGTACGATGCGGCGTATGAGTAATATTACTTGTACACTAGCGTGAGCCGAAAATCCGCTTTTTTAGAATTTTGATTGGTAATATCAAAAATATGGTTCTTTGAAATGTGAAAGTTTTTGGTCAATATCCTAGGCTCGCCCAAGTCCATCAAAGTTCAAGTACTAAAAAAAACTTTTCTTAGCTAACTTCGATTCTCTACAAAAAAGGTCCATATACCTAATTATGTGTGACTAATACTTTAGAAGATTATTGCAATTTTAGTAAAAAAAAATATTAATTTATTTGTTTATTAATTTTTATTTTTTGGGCATATTGAACTTTGATGGACTTGGGCGAGCCTAGGATATTGACCAAAAATTGTCATATTCCACACGGATTGTTTTTAGAGCATAGTGAACTATATTTTTGCTATTACCAATCAAAATTCTAAAAAAGCGGATTTTCGGCCCACGCTAATGTACATCACTTCCCGATAAGACTTACAGTTTCTGACAAATTAGTTAATCATTCTTGATTTTTTTGTAACAGAACAGGCTTTAGCTTGGCGGCAAAAATTTTGCACAGAACCTGTTATTTTTTAACTTTCCTTCTGTTAAAGTTTGTTTTGTCTTTAATTTGTTTAGTAGAAAAGTAGAATGATTGTCAAAAATTATAAGTCCTATCGGAAAGTGATGGATATATGGTTTACCGCCAATGGAACCAATTTTTTTTAAGCTGAATAACAGTAAATTGAAAATATCTCGAGCGAGCACTTCTATATGGGAATTAGACAATGGCATCCGTGGAACATTTTTGCTGTAAACCAGCCTTACTATTTCTGAGCAAAAAAAATAAAAACCATAAAATAATTATTAAATGCTATCTTTAAAGATAGAACAAATTTTTCTCTTATTTGTGTTAGTTCCTATAGGAGGCAAAATAATCAGCTTTTTTTCATAAAGGAAAATTCTCAATAGTTAACATTTTTGCAGTAAAGGCATGAGGTAAAACGTCAGCGATTGGTACAAGCTTCCATGTTTCGTTACAAACAAAGTTGAAATATTAAAAGAAAATAGGCCCAATGTACAATTACAAAAAAAGCATTGTTTCAAAAATCACTTTCGTTGTGTTCGAAATATCAAAATCGAATAGCATTTTGCGCAA